CTTCAATATTCTTTCCTTAGTTTCTGAACTTGTTTTAATGATGATATGTCGTGGAGTAGTCCAATTTTGATCTGGTCTGTTTGGTGTCCTGGAGGCCTCTTACATCTGTATGGGAATATCTTTCTCTAGATTTGGGAAATTTTCCATTATTATTTTGTTGAATATATTATGTATTCCCTTCGCTTGCACCTCTTCTCCTACTTCTATGCCCATGATTCTCAAGTTTGGTCTTTTGATGGAGTCGGTGAGTTCTTGCATTTTCTTTTCACATGTCTTGGGTTGTTTAATTAATAGTTCTTTGGTTTTTCTTGTAATTACCATTTCATCTTCAAGTTCTGAGATTCTGTCTTCTTTTTGTTCTATTCTGTTGGATTGGCCTTCCATTTTGTTTTGCAGTTCTGTTTCATTGTTTTTTCTGAGGTTTTCCATATCCTGGCTGTTTTCCTCTTTAATGTTGTCTATTTTTGTCCTGAGTTCATTTATCTGTTTATTCTTCGTGTTCTCTCTTTCACTTTGGTGTTTATACAGAGCTTCTATGGTTTCCTTTATTTCTTCTTTTGTTTATTCAAATTCTCTATTTTTGTTGCCTTGGCATTTTTTGAGTGTCTCCTGTACATTTTCGTTGACCCTATCCTGTATCATCTCTATAAAATTCTCATTGAGTAGCTGTAGTATGTCTTCTTTTAAATTATTCTTATGGGCTTTTTTGGTTCCTTTGGCATAGTTTATCTTCATTTTGTTGGAGTCTGCATCTGAGTACCTGTTTTCTTCATTCCCCTCTGTTTCCTGTACTAATTTTTTCTGTGGGGAACCTGGTTTCCCTGTTTTCTCTGTCTTCCTGTCATTGTCTTTGGTGTTGTTACTGTCCCTATACTGTGTGCAATTAAGTATTTTCTAGCTTGTAATAATAACAATGGTAATATTTAGAATGGAAGGGTGAGCTGAGATGGAAAGCAAGAAGTTAAAGAATTGGGAAAAACAAATATACAGACTGGAGGGAGAAAACAGAACAAGGTGTCAGACAAGGAGATTTCAAAGGTATAAACAGGGAGCTTTAGTGTACTAGTTGACAGTAAGCTGAACAGACATTAGAGAGACAGAGAGAAGATTGAAAATCAAAAATAAAAAAAATAAACGTACGAACAAAAAATAAAAAAATAAGTAAATGAAAGAAAAATCTATTTATATAAATGTATTAAAATAAAATGAAAAAATAGAAAATTAAAAAAACCCAAAAAACCAAAAAACCTCCAATTTCAAATGCAGTGAAGTCTCAGTCTCCAATCCTGGAAATGGTTCCTCAGATGTTGTTCTGTAGTTTTCTCATCAAAGGGGACGCATAAAGAAGAACAAAACTACACACACATGCACAAAAAAAACCCCACCAAGTGTCCCAAGTTCAAATGCAATATAGTTTCAGTATGTTTTTCAGCTCGCAGGTGTAATTCGGTTGTTATCTCATCAAAGGTAGGGAGAAAAAGAGAAAAAAAGAAAAAAAAAACAAAAAAAAAGAGTCTGGAGACAGTTCTGAGAATGGTATCTGCAACTGTGGCTTGCCTGCCTGCTGCTGTCAGCCTGCTCTTGCTGGAGACATTATTTATGCATATCTCTGCGGTAAGCTTAGCACTCACCTGGCCCTGCAGGCTTTGTTTGCTCAGATTTCTCCTGTATGTGATCCTCTGCTACAAGCTTTCCCCTTTCCAAGCACTGGGAAAGGTGACACTGCACCTGTGTTCTCAGGCCTGTGTGTTTATTTACAGTTCATGTGGGAGGTGGGTCTTCCCCCCTCTCCTGTGCAGTTCTCCTCCCACCTCTGCTTTCACAAGGTTTCCTGCTCCTGATTACTGGGCAGTGCTGCTTCTCCTGTCAGCCGCCATGTTTGTGTATAGTTCACGTGGGAAGTGCGTCTTCCCTCCTCTCCTGTGGAGTTTTCCTCCCTCCGCCACTCTCACAAGCTTTCCCACTCCTGGTTGCTGGGTGTGCGCCCCCGCTCCCGCCAGAGGCTCTCTGGCCTGGATGGCTTGTTTATTTACAGTCCCAGGAAGGATTCCCTTCCCCCAATCTTCAGTGCTCAGGGCGCCCCACCCCCTTTCCTGCCTGTCTATTTGTTCTTATTGCTTATTACTCAGTTTCTCTTTTTTTCCCCCAGGTGGAGGTCAGTCTGTTCAGGGGGCTATGCTGCTCTGGCCCAGGCTTGTCTGTGGGAGTACTGTGGTTCCGCGAAGCTCACCTGGTCCACGTCTTCTCAAGCCGTCTGGGCGCTGGCAACTGGTGGCCCAGGGACCCTCATTGTTTCTCCATTTATCGTGAAGTGGAGATTCTCTGTGCTGGCTGGAGGTGTGGTGGGGTCAAAGTAATGCCTTTTTTCAGTGATTATGCCTGCAAAGTGTGTCTCTGGCATCTCTTCAAGATTTCACTATAGGAGGCTCGCTTTCTGCTTCCTCCCTCTAGCCACCATCTTGGAATCACTCCAACACCCAGTTTCAATGATTACAATTCAGGACAAATTTCCATCCCAGGGTATCTCAACAGCTTCTCCACAGACCATTGTATCAGATAATTCTGTGCAACGTGAGACTGTACTTTGCCTTGTATGACATTTCACAGCACCTGTGGCCTCTACCTCCTAATGTTAGCAGTGCCTTCCTTCTCCAGCTGGATTGGATAGTAAAAAATGCCCCCAGATATTACCTAAATTTCTCTGGGGAGATAATCTTCAGTTGAGAACCACTGAACTGAACCTCTTCTACACCATAGGTAGGGAAATATGCTGTTTCTGGTTCCTGACACCTATGGTCCTGTGGTCATTGACCCACACTTTTGAATAGTATCATTTTAATCATCATGATTAATTTCATGATGAGCACTGACCAGTGAACAGTTCCATGCTGGTAAGTTCACTGTGATCACTGAGTGAATTTAATTGTTCACATTTCCAATTGATTTCTTAAGATGTTTCCTACAAAGATTCTGAGGTCCTGCTTCCCATGGGATATTCTGCCTGATTAGGAAGAAGTGAGGGAGCAGATCCCTGGGTAGCCATGTCCTCATACCTAATCATACCTTCTCCCCTGCTGTTGCTTAAGCAGTATGAATTTAAAGCAGAGCTGCTGAATTCTCAGTTCTCCATGGAATATCTGGGAGGGAAGTCTACTTTGCTTTTGTTTTTAAATCAGATGTATTTGAGACCCCAGTGCCTTGGTCTCCATATCCTTAAGTCTAAGTCTGCAAGAGAGAAGCTGATGTTCCACCTTGCCACTCCATGGAGGCAGGGATCAGCTTTGTAGATTGGCCTAAGATTCTCCAAGGGTTAACTGTGAACCTGCAAGAGCCTAGGACTGTTCCCAGAGACTTACTTGGATCTCTGTGTTTACAGCAGAAAAGGCAAAGGTGGTGTGAACAATAAAGTTACAGTAACTCTGGAGTGAGTTTTATTTTCTGGTCATGAGCTGCTTTTGCATGTAATGACTGATTCTACTTTGAATGCTTACAGAATGACATGAGGAATACGACATTTCACAAAGCTTTTGTCTTTAAGGGGAAAGCACTGTGCATGGCTCTGGCATTCAGGGATTAAGGGCATGGGATTGGTTCTTTGTTCTTAATATTTTTTGGATATTTATAATGCTCCAAATACAGTGCTAATAAGGCTGAAGGATGCAAGCCCTCCACTTATTTTACTAAAATTTACAGGGTGCTTTTGGGTGTCTTTGGCAAACACTAGAGATGAAGTGGTAAGACATAATTTTGCTCTTAGGAAGCTCACACTGAAGTGAAGCAGATGGCCACATACACAATGGCAATTCAGTATTGTAAGTGCTATTACTTCAAAATGTCTTCATGGAAGATGTTCCACTAGATGTAAAAGCCAGTGAATTGTCTCTGAAAGGAATCCAAGGAATTGTAGGACTTGAATTTAACTTATCCTGGGATTAGCTTGGGAGCGAGATTTATAGTGAGGTAGGTATTATTTGTGTGTTACACAGATAATTTCTAGATATTATACTTTCTAGATATTAGATGATGGGTACTACCTGGAATGTAAACCTAGGAGTGTGGATGGTTAGCAGGGCTTTCTTCCGTGACTGGCTTCTTCCTAGAATTCCCCAGTGATCTAAAAATTGGGTTGGTTGCTGACTTCCTTATTTCTCTAACTAAGTTGTTCAATAAGTTACTACTGGCTACTTGTGGTTTTTAATCACCTTAGCCTTTCTGGATCAGTGAAAGGAGAAAGTTTTGTGGAATGTTTAGAAATCACCAAGCTATTAGTCTCAGGTGCCCTGGAGTCTAAGTATATGGGGACTGTATGATAAACACACATGTGAGCTACCTGGGACAAAGTGTGATATGGACCTGGACGTCTGCATATCTGTCAGTGAGAAAATGTGTCCTGAGGTGTTAGAAGGCTAAGTGTGGGATAGGATATGTCAGAACACGACTGGTCATTGTAGAGGGATGTTAGACTTTTTCTATCACTACGGAGATGTAACTGGAGGAAGTGAAAGCATCATATAAAGAGGAGAATTATGCATGGATTGAGCTAGAATCTAGGAAGGTGATGAAGTCAACAGTTTCCAAATGTAGAAGGCAATAATTTAATTATACACAGTGACTGGTCCTCTAACAAAATGTTAAATATCAAGGGAGGTCCACCAGAGGCAACTCTTGTGAAGGCACAGAAGGGTGGGTGGAGAGTTTGAGATATGTTCTGCAGACCAAGGATAGTCCTTCACACATTGGTAGTAGACTCTCTATAGGTTTGTTTTGTATTATTTCCCAGTTAATTCCAACCACACAGGGCATACTTACCATTGATGTCTTACTTATTGAAGTGTTCTTCATTTTTCTATGCACTACTAATTCTTATTCATCTTTCAATACTTAGGTCACAGTCATCTCAGAATTACATTTATTTAATTAATCCTCTTCATGAAGAAGTCTATTTTTCTGCATCATTTTAAATAAGGCCACCCAAATTACTTCCTCTTGGTGGTGACCTCATGGCTAACATCCACAATGTGACTGAGTTCATTTTTCTTGGACTTTCTCCTAACCAGGAAGTGCAGAGAATTTGCTTTGTGATATTTCTGGTCTTGTACACAGCAATTATACTGGGGAATTTCCTCATTGTGCTCACTGTCATGACCAGCAGATGTCTTGGATCCCCCATGTACTTCTTCTTCAGCTACCTGTCCTTCATGGAGATCTGCTATTCCTCTACTATAGCTCCTAAGCTCATCTCAGATCTGCTGGCTGAAAGGAAGTCCATATACCTGTGGGGCTGCATGACAGTTTTTCTTCCTCTACTTCTTTGGAGGCACTGAGATTTTATTGCTCACAGTTATGGCCTATGATCACTATGTAGCCATTTGCAAGTCCCTGCACTATGACAGCATCATGAACCATCGGGTGTGTGCTATCCTCATGGGAATAGCATGGGCAGGAGTCTTCATGCATTCCTTTGCGCAGATCCTTCTCATTTTCCACTTGCCCTTCTGTGGCCCCAATGTCATCAACCACTATTTCTGTGATGTACTTCCTCTGCTTAAACTTGCCTGCTCTGATACCTTCCTCATCGGTCTGTGATTTGTTTTTTGGTCCTCTTAGCATCCTATGTGGTCATTTTGTTCCATCTGAGGACACGAACCTCTGAGGGGCAGTGCAAAGCACTTTCCACCTGTGGGTCTCATGTCACTGTTGTTATATTGTACTTTGGTCCTTGTGTTTTTATTTATTTGAGACCTTCTACCACTCTGTCTGTTGACAAGTTGGTAGCCATGTTCTACACGGTGATAACACCATTCCTCAACCCTGTCATCTATTCCCTGAGAAATGCTGAAGTGAAGAAGGCCATGAAGACTTTATGGGTCAGGATAATGAAACTAGGTGAGAAATAGAAGTTGAGTCTGGGCTTTGATTCTTGAGTTTAGAATGTTGCTGTGTCAAAATTGCTAGGTCAGAATGGGTAGAAGAAGAGCTTACAGTAATTGTTTGTTGTAGAGTTATTCTAATTGATGTCATCTTCAAAACTTTCATTTTAATTCCTTGTAAGAAGTTTCCTTATGAATGTACTATAAACTAGCCATTTTAGATTGTGTCTTTTTTTTTTGCAGCTATATATAATATTGTGTTAGATATTCACAGCAAAATATCCAAATAAACTTCTGATCTTCTAGACTGACTTTCTATAGTGAATTTACTGTGTCATAAAGCTTAGAGATGAGATCTGATGCAGTGTGAGTTTGAATCACTGACCTACAAATGTTTTCTTGATAGAATTATGTCATTAAAATTTTTCAATGGGAAATAATGCCTAAATCATTTCAAAGTATTTTCCTAAGTCAGGATATTTATAAATTACAATGGAAAAATATGACTTCATAGCCACATTGTGTAGAATTCAACATAGTGAACATCACTATGATAAAATAAATGATATCACATGCCTCCTCATATGATACACTGCAGAGGCACACATCATTACTGTCCCATTCCTACCAAAATCAAATAATCTGAGTCTAATTATCAAAAGCATAGGAAAAACTGCAGTTGACACATTGAGAAATTCCTTGGAACATCAACTTAAATATTAATAAGGAAAGACAGGACTGTTGAATATGTACAGCATGTGTGTGTGTGTGTGTGTGTGGTGTGTGTGTGTGTGTGTGTGAGGTCCTTGTGGGAGGGAGGAGGGTGACTAAAAGAGTTTAAGATTGGGTATATAGTGAATGGACTTCAGATTCTTATATGAAGTAGAACATAGAGACCTTCTGCAATTGATTTAAGTGGGGTGGAGAGGGGGCAAAAGGGGAGAGGTGTGGGGGAGGGGTGTGAACTAACCAATGTACAATACAAGCCTATTTAGAACTGTCTCAATAAATTCCCCCCTGTACAATGAATATGTCCTAATAAAAAGATAAGAAAGAAAAACCCCAGTTGAAGGTCATTCTGCAAAATTCTGTCCTCCCTCTCCAAAAGTGTGAAGACAAAGGAAGATTGAAGAATTGTGCTACATTTAAGACTCATGACAACTGAATGCAGCATGGGACCCTGAATTGGATCCTGTATTACATGAGGAATGCTAATGGGGGAAAATGCTCTAGATGGAATAAAAGAAATATATGAATGTTAATTGCTTATTTTGGAAATTACAGTATTTTATCTCAGAGACTACCCTTGAATTTCAGAATAACTTATTGGAGAACTAGAGATAAGAGGGCCATAGGTGACCATTTTGAATCATTTTAGAAATGATTTATTTTGATTAAATATTAGGAAAACAACATGCTATTTTGATGAATATATAGACAGTAAAGTGAACTAATGTATAGTGAAGCAATTTAGCATACCCCTCACTTTCCATAGTTAGCATGTTGTTTATAGTCTCCTCCTGATAAATATTTGGATTGTTTTCAAATAGTGTGACAGCGAATAGACCTTTTAAAATTATTGTTGTACCGGGGGTACATTGTGACATTACAGCAAATAAACTTATTTTTTTATTTTTAAAATTTATTTATTTATTTATTTAATTTCCTTTGTTCATATGTGCATACAATGATTGGGTCATTAGTCCCCCCTTCCCCTGCACCCCCTCCCTTTCACCCCCACCCTCTCACTTCCAAGCAGATACTGTTTTGCCCTTATCTCTAATTTTGTTGAAGAGAGAGTATAAGCATTAATAAGGAGGACCAGGGGTATTTGCTAGTTGAGGTAAGGATAGTTATATAGGGATATTCCTAGTTTTGCTTCTATGTACATATGTGTTACTTTCTAAGTTGATTCTTCTCGAACTAACCGTTTCTCTAGTTCCTAGTCCCCTTCTCCTATTAGCCTCTGTTGCTTTAAAGTTTCTGCATTAGTTCCTTTGCACTGAAGACATCAAATGTTATCTTTTTTTTGGGGGGGTTACCTACCTATCCTCACACTTCCCTTGTGTGCACTTGCCTTACCATGTAATCAAAGTCCTATCCCCTTGTTGTGTTTGCCCTCCATCTAAAGTCTGCATATGAGGGAGAACATATGATTTTTTGGTTTTCTGGGCCTGGCTAACCTTGCTCAGGATGATGTTTTCCAGTTCCATCCATTTGCTTGGGAATGATAAGATTTCATTCTTCTTCATGGCTGCATAAAATTCCACTCTGGCAAATAAACTTAATTTAAATATGTATGACCAATCCAATCTGTAGGATATATTTTCAGAAATATAACTGCTGGATTAAATGTATCAATTTCAAAGCTAAATCTTTTACACAGCCTGATTTCAAAACCTATTACACAATCATAGTAATTAAAATGGTATAGTACTTGCATAGACAGAGACATATAGATTGAAAGAGCAGAATAGGGAGCTCAGAAAGAAATCCAGGCATTTATGGACAACTTAGTTTTGATAAGGGTAGCAACACTGCATAATGGGGAAATAGTAATCTATTCAATAAATGATGTTTATTGAAAATGAGATACACACATGCAAAAGAAGAAAATTGTAAATGTATATAAAAACCATTGGCTCTTTAAACACCAGTGTGTATTTGTCACCTGTTATTTGATGTTTATGACATAGTTCTAGTCAGATTTTCTATTTCTAAATTATACCTTTCCACTCAGTATATGTGATCTTCACGTAGTTTCTTATGACTTTATACCTATGTTCATCATCTATATAATAGACTAACACTATACTCATTTCAATACTTTGTTTTAAGCTTTTTACATGAAATGGTTTAGCAGAGTAGTTGGTCCTTATTAATAATGTGTGTGTGTGTGTTTGTGGGTAGTGAGATGAGAGGCAGAAAGGGAGAGTTCTCATCCTCAATTCCTTCAGGTTGGCTGAAATGTGCACATAGACCACCATTGGTTGTATTCAGTCATTTCATTTCATTAGCCTTTGTTTACTTGTAAGAGTCCTTCCTAGATAGTGTTCTTTCTTTTGAGAAAGGATCTCACTATGTAGCCTAGGGTGGCCTCAAGTTAGCAATCCTCCTGTCTCAGTCTCCATGTACTGGGATTATAAGTGTATATCACCAGGGCCAGTACAAGCTATTGCTGATATTGTGAATTATTCATCTTTTTTCCTCTCCTTGAGAGATATTGTAGCTGTTAAGTTGAGAAAGGCTGTGCCTGTGACAAAGCCAATGCTAATAAAATGGATGGAGGTTATTAAACACAGGAGGATTTGACACAGATTTCCTTAAATAGTGAGAATGTCTAGGGCTTTTAAAATGGAGTTTGAGCTTTTGAAGTGTTTCTGGTGAGCTATGAATGAGAGGAAGATACCTGTACATTGTTTCATAATTTATAGAACTTTGAAGATACAAAATGGCTACCCAGAGTAGAAGCAGAAGCAAGGTGGGATGGGGACATATCCTAGTAAAGTGATACCTTGACTATGTGTGAGATATTAGAAAAGTCAAAGTACATAGTAATGATCCTGTGATGCCACTTGTGGGAATATATCTGAAGTAATATAAGTCAGCATTAAATAGAGATATCTGCACACCCATGTTTATGATGGCACTATTAACAACAGACAAACAACAGAGCAGCCTAGGTGCCCATTAAATGATGAATGGATAAATAAAAATGTGGTATAATAAACACAGACACAAAAAACAATGACATTATGTCTTCTGCAGGAAAGTGGATAGAACTGGAAATCATCATATCAAGCAAAATAAGCCAGACTCAGAAAGATGAAAATCACATGCTGTCTCTCATATATGGAACATAGCCCTAAAAAATGAAGAAAAATAGACAGGAATGTAAGATAGGGGCCATTTGGGAGGAGATCTAGTGGGAGGGCAAAAGGAGGGGATGATGGAGGGTTGGAGATGATTGAAGTACATTATTAGCATGTGTGAAGACGGGCTAAAAAAATTCATTAAAATTGTAAAAACTGAGGATTCCAAGATGGTGGCTAGAGGGAGGAAGCAGAAAGTGAGCTTCCTATAGTGAAATCTTGGAGAGATGCTGGAGACACACTTTGCTGGCAAAATCATTGAGAAGAGGCAAAACTTTGACCCCTCCACACCTCCAACCAGAGCAGAGAATCTCCACTTCACGTTAAATGGAGAAACAAGGAGAGCACCCCGGCCACCAGTTGCCCATGCCCAGATGGCTTGGGAAGATGTGGACAAGGTGAGCTTTGCGGTACCACCATACTACACAGACAAGCCTGGGCCAGAGCAGCATAGACCCTGGACAGACCGACCCCCAACCGGGGAAAAAAGAGAAACTGAGTAATAAGCAATAAGAACAATAAAGACACATGGGAAAGAGCGTGGGGCACACTGAGTGCCAAAGATTGGGGGAAGGGAATCCTTCCAGGACTGTAAATAAACAAGCTGGGTGGGCCAGAGAGGCTCTGGAGGGAGCGGGGGCGCGTGCCCAAAACCAGGAGTGGGAAAGCTTGTGAGAGTGGCGGAAGGAGGAAAATTCCACAGGAGAGGAGAGAAGACCCACTTTCCACGTGAGCTGTACACAAACATGGCTGCTGGCAGGAGCAGCAGCACCACCCAGTAATCAGGAGCAGGAAAGCCTATAAAAGTGGCGGTGGGAGGAAAACTGCACAGGAGAGGGGGGAAGACCCACTTCCCACATGAACTGTAAATAAACACGCAGGCCTGAGAATGCAGGTGCAGTGTCACCTTTCCCCGTGCTTGGAAAGGGGAAAGCTTGTAGCAGAGGGTCACAGGAAAAAACTGAGCAAACAATGCCTGCAGAGCCAGGTGAGTGCTAAGCTCACCCCAGAGATCTGCATAAATAATGCCTCCAGCAACAGCAGGCTGACAGCAGCGGGCAGGCAAGCCACAGCTGCAGACACCATTCTCAGAACTGTCTCCAGACTCTTTTTTTTTGTTTTTTTTTTCTTTTTCTTTTTCTCCCTACCTTTGAT